GGGGGGGGCACTTTTCTGAAGCGTTAAGCCACCAGTACACGGCCCCAGCCTTGCTGAAAAAGCAACTCGTCACCTACGAAAATTTCAGAGGCTCCACCTACCAGACCACAATGGCTGGCGGCGCCAGCCAAAAAAGAAAAAAAGTGCGCTGCCCGCGGTTCGGAAAAGCTTGGCGTGCACTAAGGGGTGGACCCCACCGCCCAAAGTCCGGAAAAGGCAGTTTCCGTGGCAAAGCGACGTGTCCTGGAAGGTTTCGGAAAAGAAAAGACGGGACCCCACCGAAGTGCCTCTTTTCCAGACTTTTGGAAGAGTTCTTCCAGACTTTCGGACCAGTTTGGCTGTTTTGTCCGCCGTCGAAGCCCGGGTAGGCCGTGGTGGACCTGCGGGGTGGCCGCTGACGGGTCGTGGGTGGCATTGCGTGGCATCTGCGCTGCACGGTGCGGACACAAAATGGACCTGCGCGATCTTCCAAGTTTGGAAGACGTAGGGGGATGCCCCCCCGCTACCCCTTGCGTTTGCCACAAAAATTCGGCGAGGCTGACGTGGATCGGCTGTTTTCCGCCCGGAAAAGGACTTGGAAACTCGCTCTTCTCTTTTCCAGGCGCCACTTTTCCGGGCGGTGGGGTCTGGGAAATACAAAAAAAAGGACTTAGAGGTGGACCCCACAGGGGAAAATCTCGGAAGAACTCTTCCGCCGGGTGTTCTCTAGGACCCCACAGCCTCTGGAAAAGTGCCTGGAAGTCCTTTTTTTTGTATTTCCCAGACCCCACCGCTCGGAAAAGTGGCGCCTGGAAAAGAGAAGAGCGAGTTTCCAAGTCCTTTTCCGGGCGGAAAACGGCCGATCCATGTCAGCCTCGCCGAAATTTTGTGGCAAACGCAAGGGGTAGGGGGGGGGCATCCCCCTACGTCTTCCAGACTTGGAAGATCGTGCAGGTCCGTTTTGTGTCCGCACGGTGCAGCGCAGATGCCACGCAATGCCACCCACAACCCGTCAGCGGCCACCCCGCAGGTCCACCACGGCCTACCCGGGCTTCGACGGCGGACAAAACAGCCAAACTGGTCCGAAAGTCTGGAAGAACTCTTCCAAAAGTCTGGAAAAGAGGCACTTCGGTGGGGTCCCATCTTTTCTTTTCCGAAACCTTCCAGGAGTTCCGCGTCGCTTTACCAAGGAAACTGCCTTTTCCGGACTTTGGGCAGTGGGGTCCACCCCTAAGGCACCTTCAGGCCCAGGTGTACTGATGGTTTAAGGACTCCTTTTTTTTTTTTTTTTTTTTTTTTTTGAGGAATTAAGGACTCCTTTTGTTATCCCTCTGAGCCTCTCTATGGGCCTCGTTCCACACCGCTTACAAATCCTTACATTGTACGGGCGCCCTAACTGGGCGAGGGTGATTTTTTTTTTATTTTTTTTTTTTGAAAGGCCCTTGTGTAAGCCCTCTATTCCGCCGGTGGTAAGAGAACCGTCAGAATTGAGGGCTTATCTGCCGGGCTGCTCCATCTATTGGTGGGGAGCGGCGCCTGCTGGAAACCGGGTCCAGCGTCCAATTGATACATCTTTTTTGCTGAGAATCAGGCTCAGCATCCTTAGGAAGTACATAGGTGAAAATGAACTGGGCGAGGGTGATATATTTACCCTAACTTTTTTTGTTTTTCGTTCCACAGCCCGTAAGGAAGACCCTACACTTACCTGGCTTTACATCTCAGATGAGGAGGGCCGGGTGTCAGGACCTGGGCTGTCTGGCAATTTGTATGGTCCCACCCTCACATTTCAAGTCACCTCCGGGGCTCCCTAGAGATTCCCTCGTTTTGCCTGGGGCGCCCTCATTTTTTAGGGGCGGACCCTAAGAGCTGAAAATGTGGAAACATTCTGGAGTTCATTTTTTTCGTCATTAGGGTGTGGTGGAACGATGATTTTGTAAGAATCCTTACATTTGTGGTGGTGTCGAACGATGATTTTGTAAGAATCCTGTCTCAGCCCCCTCCTTCTGTCCCAATGACGCCCCCCCTCCTTCCCTCCGACTCACCCCGACTAACCCCTACGCCGCCCCCCCCCCGCTCCCAAGGACCCCCCCCCCCCCCCCCCCCCCCCCCCCCCC